ACTGTTTCCGAGTCAACTGTAAAAATTTGAATCAATGCTGTTTGAACTGTAAAAGACCGAATTGTAAGAACTCCCACACCTGCAAAACTAAACATGCTACGCAAAATCAATCTACCTCTTCAACTGTTGACTATCAAAAGCACTACCCATCAAGTTTTTGTTATTATGTTGTTTCAAGTAATGGTGAAAAATCAGAACCAGTCCTTTTTCGCGGAGAAAATGCTGTGAAGGTATTTTGCCAAAAGATCAGAGATGAAGCTCTTAAAGTGTACGAGACGTACAAAAATAAGTTGCCTATGGAGTTAACGGATGAAGAAGTGGACATGTTTGAACGTTCATCTTGCTGTCACATATGTGAAGAACAGTTTACTGCTGATAATTTAAGGGTTAGAGATCACGACCCTAATACAGGGAAATTTAGAGGTGCAAGTCATTCAAATTGTAACTTGTCATATCAAAATCCACACTTTTTGCCCGTAGTCTTGCACAATATGTCAAATTATGACCTCCATTTTATTATTAAAAGTCTCGATTATGATGAAATGGAAATAAAGGTAATCCCTAATACAGAAGAACGGTATATCTCTTTATCAAAGAAAGTTGCTGCTAGATTTGAAATTCGTTTTCTTGATTCGTACAAATTTATGTCTAGAAGTCTTGATGAACTAGTCAAAAATCTTGACAAAAATCAATTCAATGAAACACTTTCTTATTTCGGTTATGATAAACTTAATATTGTTACAAAAAAAGGCTGTTTTCCCTACGAATACATAGATGGCTGGGAAAAATTTAATGAGACTAGCTTGCCTTCTATTGATCAGTTTTACAGCTCTCTAAATAAGTCAGAAGTTGCTGTAGAAGATTATAATAGGGCTGTTGAGGTTTGGAACAAATTTAACTGTCAAACCTTAGGAGAATTTTCTGATATCTACCTTAAGACTGATGTGTTACTATTAAGCGATGTATTTGAAAATTTCCGAAAAGTTTGTAAATCCAATTATGGTTTGGACCCAGGTTGGTATTTCACAGCTCCTGGCCTTTCGTTCGACGCGTGTCTTAAATTGACTAAAGTTGAAATCGATTTGTTAACAAGCTATGAACAGTACATGTTCATAGAAGCTGGTATTCGTGGTGGTATTTCTATGTGCACTAAACGTTACTGCGAGGCATCAAATAAGTATTTAGTTTCAGAAACAAATCTTGACTCGGAATCACAACCTGGTGTCAAACCTATGGATCAGGGACTCTGGACAGTTGATAATTCAAACTTTATATTATTCCTAGATATAAATAACCTTTATGGGGCTGCAATGGGAGAAAGTTTACCGTTAAAGGACTTTAAATGGTTAACCCCTGTTGAAATTGATGAAGTAAAAAATAAAATTAATGATATTGGTGAAAATGATGAAGTAGGGTTTATACTTGAGGTAGATCTAGATTATCCGGCACATCTACATGAACAACACAACGACTTACCATTTTGCGCCCAAAGAAAAGTACCACCAGGTAGTAAACATTCAAAATTGTTAACAACTTTAGAACCTAAACGTAATTACATAATTCACAGCCAAGCGTTAAAACAGGCCGTAGAGCATGGATTGGTTTTGGTTAAAATCCATAGAGGTATGAAATTTGTTCAGTCTAAGTGGTTGTATGGATACATCGAAAAAAACACAACATTTAGAAAAAATGCGCAAAATGAGTTTGAAAAGGAGTTTTTCAAACTCATGAACAATTCGGTTTATGGCAAATGTATGGAAAACGTAAGAAACAGAATGAATATGGAAATAGTTTGTAGCACTAAAAGGCTCGATAAGCTTATTGCTAAGCCTAATTTTCGTGATAGAACTATATTTACAGAAAAACTGATAGCAGTTCATCTAAATAAAACTAAAGTAAATTTTAACAAACCCATTGCAGTAGGTATGGCTATTCTTGAACTAAGCAAAATCGTAATGTATAGATATTTTTATGATATTTTTCCTCGTGTATTTGGTCAAGGAAATGTAGAACTATTATATACAGATACGGATAGTTACCTTATAAATGTAAACTCAGTTGACGTATATGAGCAAATCAAGGAGAATATACATTACTTTGACACTAGTGAGTACCCAATAACACACGCTTGTTTCTCTCTCGATAATAAGAAAAGACTTGGTGTTATGAAAGATGAAACTTTATCAGTTCCCCTAAAGAAATTCATTGGTCTTAGGACAAAGCTATATACTACTCTTAGTAAGAATTATGATTGTAAGAAACGTGCTAAGGGTGTAAAGAAAAGTGTTGTTAAAAATGAAATAACTTTTCAGGACTACGAGAGAGCTTTGTTTTGTAATCAAAACCAGTACAAAGAAATGAATATAATTAGGAGTAGGAAACATGATGTATACACAACGAAAGTACGAAAACTAGCGTTATCGTCTCATGATGATAAAAGATTTGTATTAAATGATAATATCCATACCATGGCATATGGCCATTACAAACTAATTGAGAATAAAAAAAGGAAAATTGATTTACACAAAGAACTGATTGCAAAAAAAGCTAAAATGACCAATGATTCTTGTTAAGCTCAAATTATTTGTTAGATTTGTATGTAAGTTAATTTAGTTTTTTACTTTTCAGATAATGTTTTTTTGGAAACTGTACCGGTCAGGTACGAACAACTTTCTGTTGACGAGGGCTTCCTTAATATGCCTGAATACGAGAACATGGGTCGGGTTGCTATACCTCTGCACGCATTTTTCCCTTCCTGTATTTACACTATAACCTTAAATCCTGGAGAAAGAAAAACCATATCTGCGGGTATAAAAATTAGAATACCTGAAGGTTATGAAGGACAAATTCGACCGGTAGCATGGCAAGCGGAAACTTTCGGGGTGACAGTTTTAGACTCTCCAGCGTCTATTGACTCCAACCATACAGACGTAGTCAGGGTTAACCTAATAAATCATGGAAACGAGCCGTTCAGCATTAATTACTGTAGTCACATCGCAGATCTTGTCCTAATAAAGGTTGCTAGGGTGTGTTGGGTCTTAAACGGTGGTTCCGAAGATCACGATGATCCGGACTGTAAATTAGAGGAAATAATTGTTGACAATCATGTGTCTGTCATTGTAAGAAGGGACATTATCTAGTTACAAATAAATCAAGTAATTTGAGCTTTACAGTAAATTTATGTAAATAGTGGAATAATAGAAAGTATTATGACTGTAATGAAAAAAACTGTAAACTTAACTTATCTATTTAGTTTGATTGTTTATGTTTTTAATTACTGTAACCATTGAATCTTCAAATTAATACATAGATTTTTTTTCATAATTTTGTAAGTGTAACAATTATATTTGACATTTGTTATGTATATTTGTAATTTTGATATGTTTGTAAATAAATATAAATTATTTTGACATACAATCTGTGTTCAGTGTTATTTATTACCTACCTTGTTTCAGATTAATTTATCTCCCTTTCATTTATCTGATATAAATATATATTTATACACAATTAAATATTACGTCATGAATAAAAACATAGTTATATCAATCAAAATAAGAGAATAGCATCATTTGATGTTTGACTTTCAAGACGATGAAACCAAGTATCGACAAGTTTGGAGGTTATATAGGTTTTACTTCCAAAGAAAACGTTGTAGTAGGACCTTCAGGAATAGGTTTCAAGCTAACTGATAAACAAAATTTTAATATTGAAAACAAAAGGTTAACAAACGTAGGGGAAGCTGTCGATTCTAGTGATGCCGTTACTTTAAATTATATTTCATCAAAATGTCTATTGTTAGAGGATAAACAAGTTAATTTAAGAAAGAGAAAAATTGTTAATGTCAATGATCCTGAATCAGACATGGATGTTGTTAATAAGAGGTACTTTCAAAATAGTATGGACAAAGAACTACGAGATACTATTAAGTTTGATAGAAAGAAATTTATTATTGATTGCGAAAATCATAATATTAAAAATATATCAAACCCTGTAGATGGAAAAGATGCAATATCTCTCGATTATTTCAAAAGCAATACTTTAATGTATGAAAATGGCAATTTTAATGCTAAAAGAATGAGAATTAACAATATTGGAGATCCTACCGAGTTAACGGATGTAGTTTCTAAACAATACATCGAAAATTATGTTAATTCACAGATTAATTTAAAATGTGTGACTTTTGGTATCAATGATGAAATTAATATGAAGAATAAACGATTGAGCTTTTTTAAAATTGAAAAAGATCCAACCGATGACTCTGATGCAATAAATAAACTTTATCTAGATAAAGAATTAGTTAGGGTAAATCAAATAATTAGCAAGACGGTGGAATCCTTCATTAAACCAGAAAAAGGAGAATTAAACTTTAAAAAGTTTATAATTAATATAAATGAAGCCATAAATAATTATTCTCCCATTACTTTAGGTCAGGCAAGAACACTCATGCAGAAGTATTTATACATTGATGACAAAAGTGAAGTAAATATCAATAATTCAATAATAACAAATGTCAAAAAGCCAATTGAAAGACATGATGTTGCAAACAAAGAATATGTAGATGAAACAGTACGAAGCAACAATACAACTTTAGTTGAAGTGGTACTGAGGGAAATGATAAAGGATTATATTAAACCTGATATGAATGGTGTCATAGATTTAAAAAAGTATAATATTCAATTGGTTGTCAAAGCGAGCGAGAATGAAAATTCACCTGTGACTCGTAAACAATTAGATGCTTTCAAAAACAGGATAAACTCTGATATGTCACGTATTGATGAAAAGCTTAAGGTTTTTTATCCAGCTTCTTCGTTGACTGTAAGGTCCCGAAATAGAGAAGGTAAGCCCATATCAGATGTCATGAGTGCAATGATAAATGACTTAGCTTATCTTAGGTCTGAAATAAAAACCTTGAAAGAAAGTAAATCAACAGAAGATGATGATAAAGACGACTTTTGGGATAGGGTAGGTAAGTTGAATAGCAAGTAGGACTGGTCATCAGTATGGTTCTGAGCTTCAAACGAGGTGGAGGTCTAATTAATAAGCTTATTGATAACCTACCTTTTGAGGCACATCTGTTGGGTGGATACCAATTTTGTGGGGCTGGTACTAAATTGGAGAAACGTCTGGCAAGGGGCGACAAAGGGATCAATCCACTTGATAGTTACTGCAAGGAACACGATATAGCATACGCTCAGAACAAGGATTTAACGAGTAGACACAAAGCTGACAGGCTGCTGGCCGATAGGGCGTGGACGAGAGTATCGGCTCCGGACGCTAAACTCGGTGAAAAGGTAAACGCTTTTTTAGTAACGAACGCTATGAAAGCAAAACTTAAACTCGGTGCTGGTATGAAGAAATCGAAGTCAGAAAGTGTTACAAAGAAAAGGCAGAAAAGGAGTCCGAAACATGACAGTAAGAATGGAAATACACAGAAGAAACACCTCAAGGATGCTATACTGGCGGCTAAAAACGAACTTAAAAAGAGTAAAAGCAAAGAACTTAAGGTATTGGTTCCTGCAGCGTTGAAAGCTGCAAGAAATGCGATGAGGGGTGGTAAAAAGGATCAAATAAAAAAACCTAGAATCATACCCATACCCAAATCTGGAGGAGCGTTACCGTTCCTGTTGCCATTATTTGCCGGACTGTCTGCCATCGGAAGTCTGGCCGGCGGAGCTACCTCAGTGTATAAAGCCATAAACGAAGTTAACAGAGCAAGAAAGGAAAATGTAAGTGACGTTAAGATTAAAACAGGAAAAGGATTGTATTTGAGACCATACAAACAAGGGATGGGTATTTTTTTAGATCAAACGCACTAACCAATCTGGATTTGGAAAGGTATGCTAAACGATTGAAAATACCTTACTTTAGAGGAGTATTCTCTAAGGATAAACTGCCTTTGCATCCATGGAATAAAGAAGCGATAATCATAAACTTAGACGATGATGATGGGCCCGGGACTCATTGGGTCGCTTTACGTAAAGATGGATCACATGCAAAGTATTACGACAGTTTTGGGAACCTCAAACCACCAATGGAAGTTATACATTATTTAAAAAACTGTATTATTTTGTATAACTATGTTAGGGATCAAAATTTTAACACTGAAATATGTGGACAGTTGTGTTTGAAATTTCTGTCTGATTGTAATTAAAATATTCTCCAATAACTATCTCAGTCATTATTTGACCATCGTACAAGCAACATGTCTCACCTATTTGTAATTTCGGGAAATAGTTCACTCTTAAGCTGTGAAATATTCCCCAAAATTGAACTAGAAAATGATCGAGATTACGTGTTAGGGTTCATCAATTTTGAAACATTTAATTCAATTCCAAATGTTGAGGAAGGGTGTAATATGTTTTATTATCTTACCGATAAAAATGAAGAGGTGGGTATAGAAATACCTACTGGATCATATGAAGTTAAAGATTTGCAAAAGTATTTACGAAAGGTTCTTGGAGATAAGAGAGGTGAAACAGAAACTGACATCGATACTAGCTTATCATACAAAAATGCGTATCCCATTAATCATGATGTACTGATAACAATTCAACCAAACAATAATACGTTAAAAAGTGAGATAAAGTGTTCCAAAGACATCGACTTCACTCCTTCAGACTCAATAGGTCCTTTATTAGGTTTCAAAAATAGAAAATTAAACAAGTTTTTCACTCATGTGTCGGATGGAACGGTAAACGTCTTAAAAGTCAATACTATAAACGTGGAGTGTAATATAATTACGTCTTCGTTTGTAAATAGTAATCCAAGTCATGTGATACATACATTCTTTCCCACTGTTCCACCAGGATTTAAAATAGTTGAAACTCCCGCCAATATAATCTATCTTCCAATCAACACAAGGACGATTGATAACATATCCCTTAAAATAACTGATCAAAATGGTAAACCTATCAATTTCCGTGAAGAAACCATCACAGTAACATTACATCTTAAACGTTTGTAATCATGCCTATGATCTTCACCCCAGTTAAGAACATACCGTATTTGAAAACCGTGAACATTTCTACACCGGACACCGTGAAGAGAGGTTCTCTTTCTAAGAGTAATAGAGACTTTTTAGTATCATTAGGCTTAAAAATTAAACATGGCTGGTAGTATATTACAAGTAAGAGAGCAAATTTACTTTGACGAATCGATAAATAAAATAGAAGTACACGCACATCAACCATATGCTAATTCTTCATTCAACAATAATGATGAAATTAGAATACCAATCCAACATCAAGATATCTATACGTATCCCTGCAACAGTACTCTCTACATCGAGGGGGTGGTTAAATCAACAAATACAAAATTCATTAATAACGGATATGCTTATTTATTTGATGAAATACGATACGAAATCGGTGGAGTTGAAATAGATAGGGTGAAAAACGTTGGAATTACAAGTACAATGAAAGGTTATCTGTCTTTTAATGATAGTGACATTAAAATGTTAACTAATGCAGGCTGGACGAGTGAAAAAGGTAGTTTATTGACTCTCAAAGAAGACAGTACAAATAAAGGTACTTTCTATTTTAATGTCTGCATTCCTCTTAAGATTTTAATTGGGTTCGCTGAGGATTATAATAAAATTATATTAAACGTTAAACAGGAACTTATACTTATAAGATCAAGAACTGACCTAAATGCTATGCTTGGTGAGGTTAAGACTGAAACAGGAGCTGCAGGTACAAGTACAAGTATCGAGCCAACGATGGACATTAACATCAAGAAAATTCAATGGAGAGTTCCCTACGTATTCCCATCAGATCAAGAAAAACTATCTTTACTCAAAGTTATTGAAAAAAATCAATCAATTTTCATCAATTTTAGAACATGGGAGCTTTATGAATATCCTTTATTACCACAATCAAATAGACAGACATGGAATGTAAAAACATCAACTCAGTTGGAAAAACCACGATATGTTGTATTAGCATTTCAAACGGACAGATCAAACAATATCAAAAAAAATGTCAGCGAATTTGATATATGTGACGTTTCAAATGTAAAACTTTATTTGAATTCAGAGTGTTACCCGTATGACGATATGAACCTTGATCAGTCCAAGAATCAGCTAGCGATTCTTTATGAAATGTATGTAAAATTTCAAGAAAACTACTATTTTAAAAAGGGCGAACCCCTATTCACATATAGTGAATTTGTAACACATGCTCCGTTAATTGTAATCGATTGTTCCAGACAAAACGAATCCATAAAATCAGGACCAGTGGATATAAGATTAGAGTTTGAATCGAAAAGTACAATCGCAGCTAAAACTACAGCATATTGTTTAATATTACACGATCGTGTCGTTGAATACAACCCGATGACAAGTTTGGTAAAAAAGTTAGTATGAGGTGAAAAAAGGAAAACAAAAGGTCAGGAACAAGGTCAAGGGTTAGTAGGTTGAGATTAAACAAGTTGTAACGTGATAATTCACAATTTTTATTCCAGTTGCTAACAAGATGTCGAACAGAACAGTCGTATGTGATATCCAAGGGTTCCGTGGACTAAAAAATGAGTTCATCGTGAAGGAAGCAGCTTTTCTCACAACTTCAGGTAGTAAAGTGCAATCGATTATTTTCAAACCACCTTTTCCATATACAGCGTTACCTGAAACACAACAAAAGGTTGCAACATGGGTTAAGCAATTCTGTCATGGAATTGACTGGAATGACGGTTACACTCCATATTTCGAAATGAAGAATATTTTTAACAGGATATTAGGATCTTACGATGTTGTATTAGTCAAAGGTATGGAAAAAAAGATTTTTATTGAAAATACTTTATCGAATAAAACTGTGTCCGTGCGGGATATGGATGAAATTTGTTGTCCAAGAATCAACGATCTGAGAAAACAGATGAGCTTTAGAAAGTGTTTTTACCATTCTCGAACGACTGATCAATGTGCAAGTGAAAATGTTAGACTGTTGTTACACTGGTATATAAACAAGGTTGAAAAGAAATCCACATTATTGGAGATCGAAGACAAAACAGTTGACAAGATTGGAGAAATTATTGATAAATTCAATACGCTTGATAAATACGGTAACAGAACTTTAGCCAATTTAAAAATACAAGAAATATCTTACCTACCGAAAGAGTATTTTGTACATCACGTGTCCCCGAGTGACCTATGGCACGTGTGGGACCTTCTCCCAGATCACAAAAAAGATAAGCTAAAGGATATAATTTACTGCTATGAACATTACAACTCCTCAGGTGCGGGTACAGATCACATCGACGGAAAACCTCAGAGAAAAGAAAATTGTGCAAGATGTACGCAATCGAATTAGAGCTTTTTATTCAAAGTAATCCACAAATCGTTCAACATTTTAACGGAATATTTCACGCTGAAGGTAGAATACCTTCATACATCAACTATCCCTCATCATATATATTCAATACTGGAGACCGATGGGTAGCCGTTTACATTGACGAATTTCATCGGGGTGAATATTTTGATAGTTTCGGTTTACCTCCACCTTACAAAATATTTCTCTTCATTCAAAATGCTACTGAAAAATGGAGTTACAATCGACATCGAATACAGAGTGAATCATCAGACTACAGTGGATACTACACTTTGATGTATCTGATCCATCGATCTTCTGGGCAAGACATTGAGGGGTTTACATCATTATTTTCAGACTGCACAGACGAGGAGAAAGATAAGCGTATCGGTGATCTGTTTTCAAAAAGCTTTAATAGTTCAAAAATTAAGTCAGTAAAACTTGCTGTAGAAAAAATGAAATCTTTATATCATAGGATGGAAAATAGAACCATGTGGAAATAAAATAGTTTTCATTTATATTTTTTCGTTTATTATTTATATTCCCTTGTGTACTACTTATAAGATTACATAAGAATTTAAGAATGCCGATCAATCTCATTTCTGCATAGAACGTGGTAAGAGAAGGTTATCTCATAATAATGAAGGTGATTAATCAAAAACAAAAATTAAACATTGAAAGTTTTGATTTAAAACCGGTTGATAATAGACGAAGACATAGTGGGCTCCTTCCAAATCAAATCAGATGTTTAATTACAGGACCATCATCTTGTGGGAAAACTGCTGTGATGTTAAGCCTAATTACAGATCCTAATGGATTAAAATTTGAAAACATATATGTTTACTCAAAGTCCTTATATCAACCAAAATACCAGTTTTTGGAAAACGTTTTAAAAAATGTAAAAGGAATTGGTTATTATAAATTCTCTGAAAATGAAGAAGTAATTCAACCTTCTGAGGCTAAGAAACACTCGGTGTTTGTGTTTGATGATATAATATGTGATAAGCAAAACAACGTAAGTGCATTTTTTAGTATGGGTCGACACAAAGACGTGGATTGTTTTTATCTTTGTCAATCTTATTCCAGAATTCCGAAGCAGTTAATTAGAGATAATGCTAATATGATAATTGTTTTTAAACAGGATAATAATAATCTTAAACATGTTTATAACAATCATATTAATCCCGACTTAACATTTACGGAATTTGTAGATATGTGTCAAATTTGTTGGAATAAAAAATTTGGATTTTTCGTAATCGATAAAGAAAGTGATCTGAACAATGGTAGATATCGCAATGGGTTCGATAAATTTTTTATAAGGTAATATTGTATGTGATACCACACAGTCTTCATCCAACTTCGAAAGGAAATGGATGTTAAAAAGGAGTTAATCAAAACAAGTAATACGATAAGAAAAAAATATTTAGCACTGAAACGAGGTATTGTGGATGAAGAAGAAATATTCAAAAAGAAATTTAAACCTATCGTCGATCCTATTAGTGAAATAGTAAAAAATATTGAAGAGAAAAAGAAAAAAAAGAGTGACAAGAATTCATCAATTCTTGATAGTGAACAAACTCCGTCGTCATCACTTAAAGTTATGAATGAAAGCAAACCTTCACAAATTCAAACCAATGAATCATTATCAGAAGAATCGGATTCCAATAGTGAACATGATGAAAACGAAGAAAATTTTAACGATTATATCAATAAATCTATTAACGATAGTAAAAATGAAATGGATCATACGTATGGTGTATATTTAGGTGATAATGATGAATGGATGATTGGAAATAGTAAAATTAACTACGATCCATCTGATAGTTTCATTAAAATAAAAGGTCAAAAATTTAAACCAACAATTGGTTTGTTGGAACTTATGTTTAAGAAGAAACCAAATAAGACACTTATCACTAAAGATGATCTGAATTCTTTTAAAGATATATTACTGCTTACAAATGCTCATTTAGTGAGACATTCTGATGGAGAGAAGGTTCAAGCTACAAATACATTTAAATACAGAAACTATATAAAAAATATTTTTAAGAAAGGGAGTGGGTTAAAAACTCCCTATTTAAAATTGGATACTTATCCATGTGCTCCAGACTATGTGCATTATGATAATATAAATGAAATTGTGGACAGGCTGCGATTATTGAAATTATCAGAGATTTCAGGTAATACTAGTCACAATAACGAAGTTATAAATATAATATCAGAGCTCAGAGATAAAGGAGTTATAGAGTAACTAATATTATGGGTATAAAAGAAGATATTGCTAACGAGTTACATAAGTCGGTAAGAAAGAATTTTCCTCGACGAAAGGTAGTTGTGAAAGGGTTTGACGACCTTTGGCAGTGTGATTTAATTGATATGACAAAATATTACAAGGTCAATAAGGGATTCAAGTATATAATCACAGTAATTGACGTTTTTTCAAAATATGCTTGGTCAAGACCTCTCAAAACTAAAACCAGTAAAGAGGTTACTTTTGCAATGGAAAACATATTAAAACAGGGAAGGGTTCCAAAAAATTTACAATCCGATTTAGGAACAGAATTCTACAATTCCGAGTTTAAAAAGTTGATGGGTGATTATAAAATTAACCACTATTCTACCTACAGCATTTTAAAGTCGAGCGTGGCAGAAAGATTTAATCGCACGTTAAAAAATTTTATGTGGAAAAAATTTACAATTAATGGTACTTACAATTGGATCGACATACTAGACCAACTAATGGACTTCTACAATACAAAGAAACATTCGACTATAAAAATGAAGCCGTGTGACGTATCAAAGAAGAATGAAATGGAATTACTAAAGACCATTTATTCATATAAACAACCCAAACTACGAATGATACCTAAGTTTGAAATTAACGACTACGTCCGCATTAGCAAATATAAAGGGGAATTCGCCAAGGGATATACTCCGAATTATTCCACAGAAATATTTCGCATCACGCAAGTAGTTCCGACAGAACCCGTCACTTACAAGTTGGTAGATGCCGAGAACCAACCCATTGCCGGAGGATTCTATCAAGAAGAGCTAACTAAGGTTAAACATAAAGACGTTTACTTAGTCGAAAAGATTCTCAAGAAGAAGGATGATAAAGTGTTTGTAAAATGGCTTGGTTTTCCTTCGTCCAAAAACTCCTGGATTCAAAAAGATAATATTGTTTAACATGATATATAATAGACATTTTTTATACTGTAGTACTACTGCTTATTGTGAATAAATATATACTAAACTCAAAAACATTTCTTTTATTACATATATAAATTACAATTAAATATAGTAAAAATAAATTATCCTAATATACTTACCTTCGTCAGTCCCGAACCCGGTCCCGTGGCGTCGAAGCCCGAGACGATAACCGCTCGTCAACCTGAAACATGACCTACACAACCTACCTCGTATCGATATCAGTATAAAGACTTGCTTCAGATTGTAAACAAATAATTGGTATATAAATTAGACATCTTATCTGTTGTTTGACTCAAATGAATTGATGATGCACTCGCAGTTATCACTATCGCATGTTTTCTGCAACGTCACGATAAGCCACGATGCAAATCCATTAAGCGCTTATCTAAATACTATACAATCTGTAAATTGTTTAACTTATTTTAAAATACAACATATGTCAGTCCTAAGATTTTTTAAACAGATGAAACTAATATTTTATATATATATTTTTTTTTTAATCACATGGTAGTTTTTAAAATATAAGTTTCGAACACAAATTCCCAAACAAAATATGTCACATATTTGTGGAAACAACCTCAACGTTAAATGATATACGAGCGCATGCCATAAAATCGCTTGCGATTCCACCATAATCGTTTTTAAATTAATCTATATAAACATATTATTTATCCATTATTCCTTACATCAGGCTAACAATTAAACACTCTATTTACTCCACGCATTTGGAAAACTATCTACACTCAACACTAATTGACAAAAGCGACAAGCGTTTGCGAGTTAATCATCACCACCTTAAAAATCAAAATGTTAATTTAAATATTTATAATACATCTTGTCACACCTGTACCCTCCACGGTGTCAGCTCTCTCGTCCGTCCACCACGACACACCACCGACACCTTTCCCGTGTGCCAGCCTCCGCGGTGCCAGCTCTCTCAACCGTCCACCCCGACACGCCGACGGAAACTTTCGACACCGTGTGCCAGCTCTCTCACCGTGCCAGCTCTCTCACCCATGTACGTTCTCCCCGTGCCAGTTCTCTCAGCCGTTTAATAACACGGTGGTGCTAGCTCTCTCATTTTTACCCTACTGATGACAACTGAGTAAAATAAAATTCAGGCAAAGTTTATTTGATTTTTAATTCAATAATAATCAACAGAAAATGGGCCGTAAGTAAAAGTAGTAGATTCATGTAAGTAAAATATTATAAATAAATGATAGCAGATTTGTCTGAATTGGAAAGA